GCTTTGTATCTTACAATCTCATCATTCTTATTTCATTTTCACATAAATACATATTTGTATCCCACTAGCTTAACATCTTCGGGTGTTTTAGCTATGGGTTTAAAAAAATACTCTTAAGTAAGAGAACATAATTCTGTCTAGATTGCTCTTTTCATTTAGACCAATCATCTTTATGTCAACATTCTTCAATAATTTAGGCTCGGGATCCTTATTTTCATTCAAAATATCAATTGTAACTTTACATACAAAAATCTTATCAATAAATATTTTTCTTTGGTCTTATTTTCTCCTTGTATTGACATAATTTATCAAAATCTCTTGATTTTTCTCAAGCATTTGGACTTCTTCTAGAAGCCTATTATCGAAATATCTTGGACCATTTTATGAATATTTAAATCCTTTATATTTTCATCTTGTCCTTTTCTTTTAGTGATTTTTATCTTTAGAACCAATCGATCTTCCACGCTTCGGACATGCTTTAAATTCGTTAGCTATAATATTAATAGATTATCCTTCTAGGCCATCAATTCTAATAGAAGCGTTCTCAATGAGGACATGCATTTTATTTACTCTTTTAGGATATGAGAATACATCTAGCGGTTGGTTTATAATACCTTGTAAACAAATTATCTTGTGAACTTCTAGTTCATATTGTTTTGTACCAAATTGATATAAAGATAAAGTACTTCATGTAATTTTTTTTTTCAACATTTTCAACTTGCTTATTTTGTTTATTCTCTCCTCTTAATGTTGGAAAAACTATTTTATCAAAATGACAGATCGATAAATCAAGTTGTAAAAATATCACTTAGTCATGATTTAAGATATTTAATTATAAAAAAGGATTCAAATCCAATATATATTCTTGGTCTCCTTTAAGTGCCTATTTTATTTCCTTATGAAGGAACACTAAGGATATACATTGCAATATCAAAAAAATTCTTAAATAAGAAATATTTGACTCATGACCATAAATCAATTGAAAATAAGAGAATTTCGATAACTTATGGATCATATGTGAATAAGTGTTACTGCATGTAAGATTGCATGTCCCCAAACATAAACATGGAGTTTCATTTTTAAATAATGGTTTAGCTATCAATTGGAGCCTTTCGATAAATGATTTTGCTAAACCTTTTTGAGTATGAACATGAGCAACATGATATTCAACGTTTATTTTAATAGCCAATCAATAATAATTTAATGCTTGAGAAATAAATTCATTAGCATTATCAAGGTGACTTGTTTTAATGGCATAATCGAAAAACTATGCTCGAAATCAAATTATTTGCTAGCAATCTCAAAAAAGTCAAGTTTCGAGTAAATAATAAGTATATAGCAATCTCAAAAACATTAGGTTTCGAGTAGATAATAAGTATATATGTGACCATCTTATAGATGCATTTATCCAAATCATAAAATATTTAAATGGTTTACATGGTGGATGAATTGATCCACATATATCACCTTGAATATATTTTAAAAATACTAGAGATTCAATCTCAATTTTACTTGATGATGGCTTAATCATCAATTTGCCTTGGCAACATGCAGAACATGAAAGTTCTTTAAATTGAAGAATCTTCGGCTCTTCAATAGATATTCATATAAATTTTTTTTAATAATTTTTTTACATCATGAAAGACCCAAAGATAACACAATTGGTCATGTCACATAGTAAAAGTATTTGAATTAGTAAACTTCTAGTTTACTATAGTATTTGTTTCAATCATTTCAATGTTTGTAATAAAGACTAGAAGAGAAAACGAGATAAATTTTTTGATAGATATTTTCTACCCGATATAATGATTATAACATATAAGTATTCACATTTGCTATCTTGATATGATATCAATTCGGATGAATATCTTTGAAACTCAACAAATTTCTATGAGACTTTGAAGAGAATAGTACATTATTCATAATAAATTTATCCCTTCGAGATAATAACATATTTTCTCTTCCGAAGCCCTTAAATTAATCACTTCAAGTAATAATATATCGACTATTCTAGAGCCTTTAAACATTTTCTCTTCAAGTAATAATTTATTCACTCTTCTAGAGCTTCAAAATTTTATCTCTTCAAGTCCCGATATAATCGCTCTTCTAAAGCCTTCAAAATCTATCTCTTTAAATAATAATATAGTCGCTCTTCTAGAGCTTTCTATTAGATTGATATTATCATATATAATAGTGACATAAAATAAATAATCAAATAAATCAATATAAAATAAATAAATAAATATATTCCTCATAAACACAAACAAACAAATAAATAGTAAAATAAATTTGTAACCATCACTATACGATATAAATTATTAGAAATATAAAATATTTTATTTATAAATAGAAAAACTAACAAGTAATTAATTTCAATTACTATTATTTTGATATATAAAAGTGGCCTTCATATTTTACAATAAGGCTCGACAAGGCTCAATGAGGTGCTTTGGTGTACGGTAGGTATACGACCAATATTCATTCATTCTACATCTATAATATTTATTTTTTAGGATACTAATTTTATTGTTTTTTTTTTTCATAGTTACCCACTTCGATGGTGAGATGTAATATTATGGTCATTACAATTATAATGATAATTATTTCGATCATATTCATGGGTATGACCATATCTTCATCCATGTCTAAAATTATTATAAATTATCACATTCACTTCGGGGAATGGAGTAGGTCCAATTAGATGAGATTTATTCTTTTTTATTTTATTTAGCCACTAACAAGTATAAAATTGATCCAAAATATTTCTTAAACTTTTTTTATCGAGAGCATATCCAAGACATAAAAAGTAGAGAATATTTTTTCAAAATCAAGCACTCATAATCAATAATTCTTATTCAAAATATCAAGAGTTACCAAATCAAGTTTATGAGATTTGATATGATAAAAATTCTATAATACAATATATAATAATATTATTAAAAAATAAGAACAAATATAATAATAAAATTAAAGCTTTTCAAATAACATTTATTAGATCATTAGTATATCATTTAAGTTTTTCAAATATATATTTCATGTATCAATAGATTTAAAGTACATGAAGAAATTAGATACATACCTCTTAATGATCTAAATAATTTAGATCTTTTGGTAGAGCACTTATGTAGAGGAAATTCAATTGTTGAAACAATTGATTAAATCTTTTGGTAGATACATACCTCATGGTCTATTGTCTCGATTGGTTAGAGCTTCGTGTTGATAACGTGTTATAAAATAAATAAAAATAATAGGAGAATTGAAGAAAATGATGACAAGAAAATGAAATCACTATAATGTGAATATAAGTGATAAGAACTTCAAAGTTTCTTTTATTCTCTTTAGGAAACTTGTACACCAACTAATAAACAATCAATCCTATTTATAGGCTTCAAAATTGAAAAAAGAATTGGAAGAGACTATGAATAATCAATTGCATCACCCTTTTAATTTCTCACATTGAATGATGAATTGAATCATATTAAGAATCATGAGTAGTGAAAATATGAAAAGTAGATGAACATGATGATAGAAATTCATTATTTCATAACAAAATTGAGTTATATAAAACACTAGCACCTTTAGTGCGTTTGATTTTTTTTTTTTTAACGAAATATTTTCATTTAATTAAACATAAATAAATTCCACAATAAGTTGCTTTTTTTTCTTTTTTGTTGAAAGCAGGGTATCGTGCTTTTTTCAAAAATAAAACAAATATTTTTTTTTAAGTTACGCCTGCTTTGATAAAAGTAGTTGAAGTTAAAGAACCTAATTTGATACTCATAAAATATATACTTGCACAAGGTTGTAAAAATAATTGTTTGAATTTACATCTCATTTTTAATCCGAAATGGAGATCCATTGGATTCCTGCACTAAATTCTGTATTGACAAGCGATCTAGTCTTTTTAGGAAGGCAATCTTTATAAATTAATATTTGGAAGAGAAAGGTTTGATGATAGCAGAAAATATAGGAGAATAAGATTTCTTATTTATATGACTTTTAGCGGCGATAAAAAAAATTGTAATTTTATTGAAATTCTTATTTTGGCTATTAAATAAGTAAAAATTTAAGGGTATTTTTGCAGAATTAAATGTTTCAAGGGAGTTAGTATTCACACACACACACATATATAGGTTCATGTTTTTCTTTTATATATTGAAAAAATAGAGAGTTTAGGATGAAAGAATTCATTTTGGAACAAAAACTACTAAACTGAGGGTGGTGGTCAGAAGACTATTTAATTATTTTTTATACCACAACAATTAATTAATTAGTTTCAATAAATTATAGTAACTAAGTTATAATTAACTCCTCACGAACCCAGGACAATGCTTTCCAGACCAAAACATTTCACCCAACACCAAAATGTTGATAAATTTTTGCTAGAGCAAACACATTTGAGCCAGCCACCGTTCATATTTTTCAAAATGAAACAAAATGGTTTTCGAAAATAAGAAAAAAGAAAGCAAAAACTACAAATTTTACTAAATGACCCCTTAGTAAACCAGCGCCTTTAAAATTAGATAGCCACATCCCGAAAAGTACTAACCGAAGCAATCTAGGCTCACTACTACAGGATTAGGAAAAAAATCCTAATAATAGTACTATACCGTTCTGTCAGTGAACAAGCTTTTCTAAAAATCCACACATTAACCTCCCAGCGTTCCAAAATCCCACAGCCCCTCACAGGAGACCCAATCTTGCATATCATACTCAGAAAAATATGCATTCTACAGCCCTAACCTCACTACATAATCTTAACATACATAAGATACAACATTTTGCAACAACAATGACCAAATGCATTTTTCAAAAGAGAGATTTAGCGGTTTGATAAATGGTGCCACAGAGCTGCCAGGTGATCAGCTCAATTTATAACTATAGACAATATTCAAGGACAAAAAATAAGCTTAAAGCAACCGGGGCACGGTCAAAGGTGGATCTGTTTGTTAAAACAACAGGTAAATGTTACAACCAAGAAAGAATACTGATGAAACACATCACATCTCAAAGTTCCATGTACTCTCAGCACTTAATTTTGGCATTTTTGACTCCTCAGCCAAATTGACGGATGCAGAAACCTGGGATAAATAAGGAACCAAGATTAGAATATCATTTTTGAGTTAAAATCACATAAAAATTGAGACGATTTAGGATCCTAGAAATGCTTAAAGAGGCTTCATCCAATAAGGTCAAAGAACACTACAACCACCTAATAAAATCAGGCAGCTCACAATCATCAATCTAGCATCAAAATAGCTGAAAGCTGAGCACAATCACCCATTTTGTGACATTATCAGCAATCACAGAAATGTATTGCTTCAAGCCATAAAAGTACAGGTATTTTATTGAAAACTCGAAACTCACTGATTCAAAATCAACACAATCATGCCAGGGTCTTTTCATGGTTGAAAAATGGAACAAAAAATATAACAATTACACTTTCCACAAAACCATAACATACTCAGTTATAATTCAATTCAAAATCTGAAAAAACAAACATGCTTGTGCTACAGAGTCAGTGAACACACAAAATCCATGAACTGTAACCTTCAAAACCCAAAAATATAATCTTGTCCAGTTTAATGGAGGATCAAATTCTTAAAGCATGCAATAGATTGCTAAAATTATGCTCAACATTCAACTAGTGCTATTTTCTATATCTATTTCTTGATTTCATTATGTATATATTTTTAATCTAAAAACCAAAATCCAGCAACTAGCCGGTAAGCATATAAACAACAATCATGCATTTACCTTGAAATTCCCGTTCAGCTTTGAATTCCTTGACCACTCCAAGCCTAGATTCTTGCTTGACGTTTGATACGTAGCCCTGAACACATCATCAGCATAAACCTTCCTAGATACTGCAAAATCCCATGAATTCTTTGCCAAATCATAACACGGCTCAAACGTAGTCAGCCCTCCGTGCACATAAGTATACTTCAACTTGCAATTCTCCGTACCGAGCATATAATTAGCAGATATCTTGTTCGCTGAATCAACCACGAGAGTCCCATCCAAAATAGTCCGGTTATCCCCTCTACTATGAATGTATGTCAAATTCAAGGGCTTGTCTACAACTTTAACTGAGTTCATAAACTGAAACCTAAAATCCTGCACCGCATGACCAAATGAAAATCAAGTCAATGTCAGTTACTGAATTTTTCCAAAGTTCAAGTTTTCTTTAAATTCCTTTAATTTCACAATTAAAATGGAAAAGAAAATGTTACAAATCAAAAACTGAAACCCTTGACTCTTTAAAAAAATCCCTTAATTCAAAAACCCTAATGCCCTCTTTGGCTACTGATGAATCAATCAGGAAGCAAACGAAAATGAAGCCAAACTTGCAGTAATACATTAGTGTTTCCAGTTCAAGTTTCCTACAAAATTATCAGCCACCAAACAGACCTTAAGCGAATAAGAAAGCAAAGTCATGGACTTTCCGGAAGGAGGAGTTACCTTTTTGGGAACGTTGTAGTCAATTATGAAGAAGCCAGGTTTCTCGACAGCTAAAGCTAAGCCATTTAAGCTAGGGCCGCTGACGACAGTGGCGTCGGTTACGGAAGCCCGAAGCTTAATATCGCCGGCGTTGAAGGCGACAGTAGCAGCGGCGTTGCTTTTGTCATTTTCGTACTTGCCCTTCAAAGACGCCCTCATTTCGTGAAAAACGAGAAAAACAAAGAGAGGAGATTATCGGTGCTACAATTTTTAACGGTGGTTGGTAAGAGAGTAAGGCATCCAAGTCTTGTAAGCTGTATGATTTGAGAGTTAATTATATATTACTCCCTGTAGTTTATAAAAACTAATTAATCAGTTCTTATAGTTTCAAGAAATTTGTATTTACTCTCTACATTCTTAAATTTATTTTTAATTTAATCGTTTTTGCTCTTTTATGTGTCTTGTTTAAATTATTTTTTTTAAAAAAAACTATAAAGGAAAAAAAGTAAGTAAAATGGAAAAATTGAAGAAAAAAAAGTATTTTTATAATAAAAATAATATTCAATTAAACATGTTCAATCGTGTCAAGGATTATTTAATTATTTTTATATTTAAGGATTAATTAGTTTGGTTGTATAAACTACAAGGGCTAAGTTATAATCCACTATATTATTTTATAGGCCGAAGCCCACTAGACTATGTTTGCTTTCGCCAATGGGCCGCTCGGTCAGTAGTGATTAGCTGGATAAACTTTCGATTGAAAAATGATTTTCTCAAAAGAGGATGATTTTTAAATTTAGTACCGTTTCCCTCTCATTTTTTCAATTTAACTTCCACTTCTCTTTATTTTTCTTACACCTTACATTTGAGATCTACAAATATATACTGTTTTTTAATATTTTTACAATTATATTTAATCAAATTTGATTTCATTTATTTTCTAACACATTAATATTCATAATTATCTTAATTTATACGAACATTTTTAATTTTATCCTTAACTCCGATCTCTTAACATTTTTCTTTCAAAATTTTCGACTCATAACAAATAACTTGGATAAAATATCCCAAGAAAGAATGACACGTAAAGCTAGAAAAAAATAATTAAAAAAAAACCGCATGTGTTTGTATATTTTTAGGTTAATTTTTTATCCATAAAAAAAATGTGAAAATAAAGAAAATACAAAGGTTATAAGAAATTTTTTCCTTTTAAATAAATTATAATTTTAGATTCTACCTCTATTTTTCAAGTAACATTGACCTAGAAAGAGATTTGCATAATAAAATAAAAAAATAAAGATATAAAGAAAAAGAAAACTTTTTTGATCGACATAATCCCACCATATCACCAACCATATTATCAAATGAAATTTTTCATAGACATTATTATCATATAATTTCATTTCAAAATTTGGAAGGTATATAAATTTTGAGTCATAAATCTAAAAACCTCGATCTAGAATTTAAAAATACGTTTTGAGGATAAATTTATGTGTAGGAAGTTGATGAAAGTGTTTTTTATGAATTTTTTTTCTTGTGAAAAAAACATATACATAAAAGCAATGAAGTATTTTTGCATAAATTTTTGTATCAATTGAAATTAAATTTATGACTTTTTAAACTAAATCAGTATCAAATAATATCTAATTTTTTTGTTAACTTTAAGAGTTAGATTCTTTTTGAATTTATCACAACTTATGTTGAATACTATAAAAACAAGATAGAAGAGCTTTCTATGAGAAGAGTTGAATCTTTAACCATGATAAATTAAAAAAAAATTCTTATTATTTTATCTGTAATATTTGATGGTACATAAATCAAATATATATAATAATCAATGAATTGGATATAGATATTCCATGAACAATGAATAAAAAATAGATATCCAAAATTTAATTTGTGGGTATTCACGCCATTCTTACGTACGCACGTATCAAAAAAAATTTGGTCCTCGTTTCGTGTCTCATCCCTCTATCTTGGTCTATTTGTCCTTTCCATTGTGGAATAACATCCACAGATGCCATGACAAGTACCAAACACGATGTTGGAACAGAATACTCTTGATTCCCTAAGCGGTTCAAAGCCAACTGAGGGAACCAGAAGGAAAAAACTCTGACCGGACCCATTGACATACTTATATGAAATGTTATTTGTTGGGCCGTAAGCGTGGCCCATTTAGTTTCGTTTGGACGATCAATCAGAGATGATCAAAATCAAGGCCGATGCTAAGGCCTTAATTTACCAATATCTGCATGAAAGGTTTGGAAGCGAGTTTTCAAAATTTTCAATGTGTTATTTACTCAAAGACGGCAACCTAGTTGGCGCTAAAATTACATTGGCGCCATATTTCTTCCTTTTTATCGCCAGCATTCTGTCTCTCTCTCCCTCTCTCCCTATCATATGGCATCTCACTCTCTCGCTTAGTGCAGATCTCACTTACAAGCGAGCCCAGTCTCTTTCTCTATCCATCCTTCATCTTCAATCTCAGGTAAATTCCTTTTGAGCTCTTTTTTATCTTACAATAATTTTGATTAAGCAATAAAGTATGATTAGATCTGTATTTTGGCGGCCGATTTATCTTTGGTCGAGCTAGATCTATTAGGTTTTTGTAGCTGAGGTCGCCGAGCTAGAGCTATGATAAACGACGAGTCGACTAGACTGAATCTGTGTTTGATGATTGTGTATCTTTCTTGTCGTAATTTATTGGCACATCGATTGCTAAAATTGGAGAATTAATAAGTAATTTGATTTTAGGATTTTTGGAGCATGGAATAAATAAACCTAATTATGCATATTATGATTTTAAGATTAAAATATCTAGTCCGATCCGAATTCTGCACGTGTTAATTGTTAAAAGCTTGGCTTTACTGTTATGTCTAAGAATAATTTACAGTTTTTATATGTTTTTGTTTTATGCAGTGTGGATCTCTGTGAATTGACAATTTTGTATTTACACGGGATGTCTAATTAGCTATTTCAAATAAAAATTTGTTGATTGCCTTCTAATATTGGCCAAGTTGTAACGTGCAATTTGAGGTTGTAAATTCTTATCAGTATCGGTCGTGCAATTTATACATTAATTGATGGCTTTAAGTATTCATCTTCTCTAATTAAAATTATATACATCTATTCCAAATTATTTCTTTTCACTGTTTTTTATGCACTCCTATCTCCCTCTTTTTCCAAGATATTTTCCACATTCAAGTTTATGCCTGCAAAATGAAAGATAACTGTAGTTTATCTGTGGTCATGCTATCAATGCATTGCTTATGCTAGCATGTTTTCTTAACACGTAAAGTTTATCTTGCTACAGGGTTTGCATTCTAGGTTGTGGGATAATAGGGAGGAAAGTACAAGTTCAAGTTTCGTCAAATGGAGTTAAGGAGTTGCAGTCATTTGCACTTTATCAAGACCGCTGAAGGTGGTAAAATGCTGAATGTGTTTCATGGTAAGCCTGCACTTAAGTTCAAGGACCTCAGAGATATATATGAAATTGGAGAGGCTGGAAGTCATCATTTGCTCCCAGTGGTTAGACCAAAACTTGAGCTCGAGGACTTGCCAATTGAGTGTGATAGGGCGAAGGCTGAAAGTCCATGTATGCTTGCAGGAGCAACTATAAAAAGTAAGAGCAAATCTCTAGAGTCTAACTGCAGCAGTGTTGGTGATGGAGGGAAATCTGAAATAGATGATGTTGACTTCAGTACTATGACACTGAAACAAATTAAGGAGAGATGCAAAGCAAAGAAAAGGGAACCTTCACAAAATGTTGGTTTGATTGGACAAACTGCTGAAACTTGCTCCCCTCCAATGCAAGAACCTTCTTACTCACAATTTGAGTTGGAAGAATTCGAGGCTATGGAACCCCTTAGTAATTGGAAATCCAGGATATTAAAGAGTAAGAAGATGAAAAGAAAATGCAGATTAGAAAGCAGCCTTTCCAGTTCATCTGAAAGTGCTTCATCTATAGTGAAATCAGAGGAAATCCCAAGTGATCAAGTCATTTTTCAATCTAGTGGAATTGTACCTGCACCTATCAATATTAAAGTTGAGGTTCAGGAACCTATTTCCTTTGAAGCAATCAGTCTCCTGTCTTCAGTTTCGCCCTCGTCAGAAATAAAGGAAGAAGATTCTGTTGTAGATTCACATGCCGGTGTTGACCCCGCTGGAGTTGTCTCACTAATTACGGATGATAGCTCAAGCACATATCATGACTCCCAAAGTAAAGAGCCTGAGAGAGTTGAACATGATTTTGAGACTCACAAGTTAACTTTCTTCTGTAATGAGCTCCAATGCTGTGTTGTTAATGAAGAATCCTATGAACCTGAGGAGCATGTTGATCCTAAATCAATGCCTGATGCAAGAGCCTCTGGTGGGGAGATAATAATGGTGGATGTTGCAGAACTAACTACTGACCATAATTCAGGTTTGTCTTCAACAGAGCTAAAGAAAGAATCTTCTGCTGTAGACCCACATCACCAACATTGTGGTGATGGCTCCATTGAAGTCGCTTTCCCAAGCAAGCAGCATAAATCTGGGACAGGCAATGACTTTCAAAATTTTCCTGGTATGCATGAGTTGTTGGAGCCTAACAGTGACAGCCAAGTTCAAGTTCCTGACATCTCCATGGTTAATATCTCTCAATCTACAGAACTCAGCAACAGACATGGTTTACATCTCTCTGAAGGTGGTGCTAAAGATGATAGACCTCATGTTGAAGCCACTGTTATAAGCAGCCCTGTCAGTGACTTTAGCTCATTTAGGGATTCGAATTCATGCTCAAGTCAAGATGACTGTTTAGCATCTGCTACAGCTGAAGAAAAGAAGTCCCCACTATCTGCCTGTACTGATGCAGCAAGAAAGTTCTCTGCTGTGCCCTGTATTGATGAACCTTTAACATTGGCAGACATTCAGGGATGTCATCATTCAAAGCTACATCTTCCTGAAAGGCTTCTTTCAACCCGGAAGGTGTGCACCATCCACAAGCATGTATTTCTGTTTATTTTCTTCTATATTTTTCTGAAGTTAATCAGGCAGTGCTTACATTTTCAGGCAATCTCTCCAACATCTCAAAAAAAACTATGCAAGGCTATGGAGTTCAGTGACTTGGATGATGAAGAATACTACAGTAAGTGTATAGGAGATCATGTTTAGATTTATGGACAATGCATTTTGTCTTACTGGTGCCTGATAAAAAATTACATATACGTGGTTTTAGTTTTATTTGGGTGAAGTTTTTTGCTTTCTACTTGCTCACACTAACTCCTCCAAATTTAAAAGAAATATGTTGGATTGTTGATGATTGCAGAGTATACAAGGAAATTATGCTACACAAATTTCAATGAGAATAAGATTGGTAGGCTCGGAAGATCCAATCAAAACCAGAGAGTTGATCTCACTATTAGCCCTGAGCGGATCATCAGGAAACCAAAGAACGATAGAAATGGTTTCCATCGTAAAGGCATCCTCAAGGTTCCTCATCCTTCTCGAACTGTACCGCGTTTTGGCACTGGGTGCAGCTCTGTCCAAAGTTGTTCAGAGAGTGCCATTTCATTTTCACAGCAGCGAATGCGTGATATTGAATATATTACAACTAAACTTACCAAAGAGTTGAACTCCATGAAGGACATTGTTCAAGAAACATGGAACTCCGAGGTCTATCCAGCTACACCCTTGAAATATAGTGCAGATGAGGTATGTTAAGATACAGTTTAGCTGTGCATCCACATTCCAATGTTCCTAATTTTTCTTTTCTCAAAAGATTAGGTGAAATGTAAATTTAAAACCTGTTGTTTTTTATGTTTTATTTTGGATGCACTATCAGTAAAATGCAGACAACAGTGTAAAAAGGCCTAAGACACTGAAGAGGTCTTCTGAGAACAAATTAATTTTTTTTTTTTTTTTCTAAATCCATTTTTTTTTTAATTTGAAAAATTAAGGCTAAGTATCTTAAAACACATAACATCTGCATGACTACCAGGTTGATTTGCATTTTGTTTTAACTTTCCTCCCATCTGTCTTGCATTGCATTTTTTGTTCTTGCATCGCATTTTTTGTTCTTGCATCTCGATTAAGTTCTCTGCCACAATGCCCATATTTCTGAGTTTTGCACTCATTGTGACTCATCTGTTGGACACTTTTCCATTCACTCAGTGGATTGCTTCCATGTTTAGACCAATAAATTATACACTCACAAATCAATCTTTATTCTTGTAATCAGATTTTTTCTCTTATCCGTTGTTCCATGATAGTGGAAGGATGTGTTTTGGCTAAACTAAAAATGTTGATGAGACAGTTTGATTTTGAGTTCTGGAGAATACTTCAGCACTAACAGTTTAACACCATTTTGAACATAAATTCACCTGTTTGAGGCTGCTCCAGGACTTGACCTTTGTATTCAACCTATATTAGATAAACCTAAATAATTGAATTAATACCATCTTTGTTTTGGTGTCTTTGCTTCTATCCGTGCACATCTTTGTTAGCAAGTGAAATTGATTAGAGTTTGGTAAACGAATTTATCTTTCACATTATAGGAAGCTTAAAATTTTTATGGTAAACTAAAAATTCTGCAGAATGTTATTGACAATTATGCATTCTTAGTTTCTTACATGTTTTTGGTTGCTTTTCATTGTGTTTGGCTATATGGCTGTATGCATGTATAGTATGCGACAGTGTAAATTCTCTTAATTTGGCAGGTGAAAATTGCTGTTCAAAATGCAACAAGAGTGGAAGAAAGCGCAAGAAGATGGCTTTCTATCATGGCAAGGGATTGCAACCGTTTTTGTAAAATCATGGTTTGTTTCTTGTCATATATTTGGATTCAGGGAATTATTTAAAATAGAGACTAGTCATATACTAAATGATGTTCTGAGATATTTACTTATATTTCGTTTGATTGATCTCAGAAATTGACTGACAAAGCTTCTGCAACTTCCGGAAAATTGGTCCACAAAGAGAAGAGAAAGATAGTTTTTGCTGACGAGGCCGGTGGAAAGCTTTGTGATGTCAAGACTTTTGAGTATGACACGGCTTTTGTTACAGGGTCTAGTAGTGACAAATCCGTAAATTTCGATCAATAGATTCCATTTTCTTTTCAATTCTCGAGACTGATGCTTTCGGATATTTGAGTACCTATTTGATTCTTTCCAGAACGGCAAATGGATATAGATTAAGTTTAGGCACGTCTATATCTAGGGTAAGGTGTGCCTGGGGCAAGGAGTGAAGATACCATGACACATTTGTATTCAGCTAGGAAGCAAAACGGTGCTAACTCCAAAGCCAGTTAACTGATCACCGACAGCTAGAGAATAGGAAAGACTTCGTTTATACTTTTCTTGCCTCTGACTTAAAATTGAGGCATGTTGTACAATCTTGTGTTCTTGTCCCAAGCCAATGAACAATTGTTATTTTTTGAGGTTGGCATTTCCAATGATGTTAGCCTTATATCAGGAAAAGAATCATATCTTTACCCTGCATTTTGTATAATTGTTTCTGACTAAAGATAATCCCAGTTTTTTGTCCTAAATCGTCTGTTTTTACTCATTCAAAGATCCTCTTCTGGCTCTTAACCCTCATACCTGATTGCAAGTTTTGAATTCGAATTTTTTAAAGGAAACATTTCATCAAATTAATCACTTCTTCCATCCTGTTAGGAACATTTCTGAATTATCAAAACATTAGGTCCATTCACCATGGTTAGAATCCCATCATTCTGTTTTTTGCCACTAATTATTGTTGCTTAGCAATAGATAGCAGCAGCTTTCTGTGTATCACATCAACATTTTAAACATCAGTAAATAATTCAATTGAATCAAAGATATACCTTAATTAATCATAATAAAATAGTTTTTTGCTGGTTGTGGGTGCATAACCAATTGACCAAAAATTTAATTACTAAAAAGAAATCTTGATAATATACAAAAAAGATTTTTATCTCATAATCATACACAAAAAGGATATCTCTAAAACCCTTTTATGTCTGCAGAAGAGTTTTTCCAATATTTGTACTTTAGAGTCTTATTGATTACAGATAACAAGCAAAGCAAAATCTAGATGGGTTATACATCCTGGCAGGTAAAAACAGAAAACAGAGAAAGATGGTATCATAATTCATAGCGGTGCAAAGTGCATTCATTATTGTAACTTCATTTCATATTAGCTATCATGGGAAAAAATGAATAAAAATCAATCACAATCAAACATAACATCAAGCCACCTCTTAAATGAAGAAAAAAAGAAGTAATAGAAAAGAGAATCATTTTCCCCAACTATTTATTCTATCCTAATGTCTGATAGAAGCTGTCTTCTTTACAGGAGAATCACAGAACACGATCTCCCAAACCTCTGAGAATGCCTGGACGATAACTCCATGATACTTTCTCGAATTCAAAGACAAAAAGCACTGTAAAAGTTCCTCTAAATCCTCAGCCTCAAATATTTGCCTTTCTAATATCATCTCCAACATAGACCTCTTAAAGTCCCGGTATGGATCATGTGATTTCTTCACCACCGCCACGCTCTCCTTCACTTTCCCATCAACCTTGCATGATATCATACGCTTCAAAACAGATGACCTCACTGGAGAAGGAATCTCCGGAGACAGTACAGTCTTTGATCTTTTCCACTTGCTTAATGAAACATGGCGTCCAAGTTTTTTTATTTTCTTTATGTTACTCACTTTTTTGTTTCCTATAGACTTATTAAAAGTTTCGTAATATGATTTCTTGGTCACCCTATCCAATGAATGGCTGAATTCACAAGAAGAATCGTATGAGAAACTTCTTGAAGAAAAAAGTAGGTTTTCAGTTTCTTCATCAGCAACATCAGTACTGCTCAAGCACCCAGTAGTATCAACAGACAAAACACTTGTTTTGTCCTTGCTTTTCTTGATATTAATTCCTCTGTTTTTGTTTTTTCCAGTTACCATAAAGGGTGACATATCCCCACTCTCATCAGAAAATGAAAAGGGCATGCTTAGGTGAGGTTTGGCTTGCCACTTGAATTCTTTCTTCTGTCCTAAATCGGGTGATTCAATGCTCCAATCTGATGATATGGAGCAGCGTGGGCAAGATCGTGATTGGCATTTGCAGCCTACAGAAATGATCTTCCTTGACACTTGGCATTTGTAATAAGGCGTTGATGGTGGTGGGGCTGGGAGGATAGGGTAATTGATGTCAAGTGCTTTAGGGTTGAAAGGAGAGAGCTTGTAGATAGCTGGGGTTGGAGCTTTGGCCGAAGAAGAAGGGTCTTTGGATCTACAGAGTTGGAATGAAGGGATCATACGAGAGAGCTTATGCTTGAGACGATTAGGCATCTTGTCGAAGTTTATGACCATGAAAACTTTTGCAGTTGAGACAACGTGCTAAGGCTAGCTATACGGGGTTGGATATATAATAGAAAAAGGCCGGCATTGAAGACGAAGGACAACAGCTTGCACCAATTGTGTTACATAAATAATTTAAAGGACCTATAAAAGAAACAGGTTGGATATATAATATGAATAGTATTATGACATCGGAATAAACCAATTATATAAAATCCCATCATTTTTGGAGATGCCTCCTTTTATCTTCCATGCATCTCCAGAGATATGATGGAATTTTCAGTAAATGTCATTGAGAGATACGTGAAAGAAGCAATGGAGAGCATGCTTGTTACCCCGGACAAAAAATTGTTTAGAAAATAGTTTCGAGATACTTGACATCTTTAACTTTTTGGTAGCAATATTTGGATCATGACCTTAAGACTCGGCCTGGCCATAGCTCTCTCAAGTCTGAAACACACCACGTAATTTTTCCCAAGTTTCTTCTTGTTTTCTATGGTTGAGCTAATATTGAGAAGGACAGGGGGGTTGTACGAGCCGTAATTATCTTGACTCATTCCACACAAGCTCACAAACTGTGAAATAACTATCAGTCAGGTCCAAACATTTTTCAATTAATTTTACTTTCTACTTTTCAAGTTTTTGTGCCGTTTTCACAGGAATTCTTGTTGAGATGGGATAAAAAACCTAAAATTTTATAAAAGGACGTGGCAGTAATGTATGTTCATCATCTGTTAAACACCTGTACAAGAATGCAAACGCTAAAACACAAAAAAGGAAAGAAAAAAAGAGGACATTTTCTGCCTCAGTATTGCACACGCGTTTTGAATTTTTGACTCCATCATTAGTCGGAAAAAGAAAAAAAAGGAAGCAAAATCCAATCTCAGTACTCAGTAGTAGCTGGGTAACTCAATGAGCTGGAGTAGTTAGATATAGTTCACAATGTGTAAGCCAAATCTTGCGCCTGAGTTATATATTCACGTTTTTTTTACCCCTCAAATCATGACTTGCAAAATAAGCTCAAGTGAACAGACAACTGTGGCCTAGCTGTCCCAAAGTCTATAGAATTGTTAATATTGTTATTTTGGACGAGGTTCCAAGTAATATCCATTACCATGAGGTAGGGTTTTTGTGTGTGTGTATATATATATATACTCGAGCTAGCGGCAACTTAAAAGTTGCGATAAGTCCAATCTGTCGGGCAAGCAGAGTTGAATTTCTGTGCTACGTGGTTTTAATAGTTAGGAACTTAGAACAACTGTGGTTTGGTTTGGTGCAGCGATAATTAATCTTTTCATAGAGTATTTACTAACCGAGTTGCACGCGCTACGCTACGCTACGGATTTAGTAAAAAAAAATATTTTAAAATTTTAAATTTTTAAATTTTTTTAATTATAATTTTTTTAATTAATTTTTAAGAATGTTTTTTTTTATAAATTTCTTGCTTAACAAAACATAAATCATTATTTTTTATAGATTGATTTTAATTAAAATATTAATTGAGAATTAAAAAAAATTTTAAAAATATATTTTTCATAATATTGCATTTCAAAAAATAAAGTTATAATTAATGGATAGACTTTTACAAAAACTAACAAATGAAAAAAAAATCTTATTTAATGCTAATGAGAAGATTAAGTTTTGAAATTATCCGCACAACGTTATGGGTAGATAGAATAAAATCATTTCAAAATTTTATAGTTTTTTCATTAATTTTTTATTTAATTATTACTATTTTTTTGTGGTTTTCATAAAATTTCTGCTTAAAAAAACATGAATTATTCTTCTTTATTTAGGGATTCTTAAATAAAAACTTGTAATAATTTAAACTTGAAATATTAATTGAGAATTCAAAAACAAAAACTTTAAAAATATATTGTTTTATAAGAATATATCCAAAAAAATAAACTTACAATTTATGTATAGACTTGCATAAAAATTAACTAATGAAAAAATAAAATTTTATTCTTATTTAATGATGATGAGAAGATTATTTTTCCTTAAAGTATATGCATTTGATCTATATTTATTTATTTATTTAAAAAATAATCAATAAAATTAGCATTAAAAAAATATTTTAATAATTGGTGGGTTCCCTTGAAAAATTATTTTATTTCAAATAAATTGGTTCTATAATGTTAAAAAAAATATTTATATTAAATAAGTTGTATTATGTTAGAAGATGTACGAGTTAATTTTTAATAAAAACAATGATTCAATAGTTTTTTTATACGACTTGACCATATTTAATGAACTAATATAAATTATTTAAATTACACTTTTAACCTTTTTGAATAATATATATATGCAACTATTATTTAAAAAAGTCTAAGAATTCATGATATATATTATAACAATTTATTTTTTTTAAAAAAAGCATGTTTAAAAATTTATTCTAAAATTCAAACATAAAGTAAAATAAATTATATTTGTCGGTAAATAAAATTATATGTATATAAATATTAATTGGATGAGAATTTTCATAAAAAATAATAAATTCAAAGAATGAAATTTAAATAATAATAGTAATATAAGTTAAAATATATATTAATTTTAAAACACACACACACACACACTACGTGAGAAAAGAAATGAAACCTAAGCATTGAAAAACAATATTACAACATGAGGGACGAAAATAGAAAAAAATGTTAAAATTGCATTACTGCCCAAAAACACATAAAAAAATTATTTAAATTACCATCAAGTGAATAGTAATTTTATTCATATGAATGGTAAGTGAATAGGAATTTTAGGCATATAAACAGTTTGAATTCCTAGGTTAACCAAAGAAGAAAAAAAAGAAAAAACATATAATTCATTAGCTAGAGATTAAAATTTTTATTTTGAAATTTTAGGAAACAAAACAAAATAATTTTTAAATTACAAAAAAAGCTCAAGAGTGAATAGTATGTTGTAAGGAAGTAAAAGTATTGTCACTAATTAAAACCCCATGTGTTTTAGTCTATTAGTAATAATTGTAAAATGGTAAAATAATGATTAAAAAAATAAAAGAAACAAATAGAAAAAAAGAGAGAGAGAAGCATTGGTTAAAAAAATAAAAGAAACAAACAGAAGAAAAGAGAGAGAGAGAGAGAGAGAAGCATTAAATTATTTGACAAAGAAAATTAAAAAGAATGATGGCAACGGACATGATCATTAAATGCTCTTTCAAAAGAAATGCAAAAACAATGAACAAAATGGCAACAGATGAGAGCAGTTGATGCTCTTCCGAAAGAAATAAAAAAAAATGAATAAAATACCAAGAGCATTAAATGCTCTTCCAAAGAGAAATAGAAAACGCCGAAAGAGATAAGGGCAAAAAAGAAAATAGAGATAAAACACAAGAGTAATAGATAAACAATTTACAAAAGAAGAAGAAAAAGAACTGAGAGAGTACGCACAAGCAGCAAATCGAACGGCAACAAACGAAGAATATGACAAATCAATGGCCAAGGCGTGAAAACAGTAGAAATGGGTCTTTGCCCACAATGAGATTGAGGGTAAGTGAACAGTAAAGGAATAGTAAACTTTCTATGTCTTTTAGTTTTATTAGTAATTTATGAGATTAGAAGTTTGGAATTCATCCACCGCAGTTTGCAGTTAATAACAATTTTACTTTCCCACGTGTGATGGTAGTTATTCTAAAAAAAAAAAAATCTTACGTTTCGATCCTAGTATAAATATGATAGGAATATTTTCAGATAAAAAATAAAATAGTGTGATGTAGGTGAAATATTTTGTCGAAAAATATGAGATAGCATATCTATATTTCCATTTTTTTTTTTTTTTGTGTGTAATATACAAAAGCTAGGAACTTAGAATATCCTTGTATAAGTTTTTACCTATATCAAAAATTAACTTTTATATCTAAATCTCAATTAGTATATTCAAGGAGAAAAAATAATTTAGAAAAATTACCAATAAGTTTAGTTTTAGGGAGTAAAACACCAATGAGAAAATTAGTGTATTCATATTTCAAAATTCTCTTTCCAAAAAAGTTGTTTTTTTTATGCGTTCTATATACTTTATTAAATATAAAATTGCACACATACCTCTAATTGTTTAATTAAAAATAAAATGTAGATCAAAACCTTTATCTCTTTCTTTTTATTTGATTCTTTAATTTGTATTATATATCTCTATAGTTCATCATTCTTTCATATTTTTAAACGCATTTATTTATTTAGGTTTACGATAGGCTATATAAACTCTTATATTAGAATATAATAATAATAATAATAATTATTATTATTATTATTATAATTGAAGTGTGATGAAAAACTCATTCACACCATGAATGGTAAAAACAAATTTTAAGGAGTCAAAAAAGGTGAAAAATTGGATCTATAACCAATAGATCACACCTACTAAGAAAAAACTATCGAATTTCGCTAAATAACAATGGATTTTTCCATAGTTATTTGTCAAAAATTCATCACTAAATGCAATTAGCGACGGATTAGAGACAATATGTATTATGTTGCTAATATGATGATAATTATTTTTTTAGTGATCGAATTTTTCTTCCATCGTTAATCAATAACGGAATATCCGTCGCTAAATTGTTGACTTTCTATTGCTAAATCAATCTAAATCAATCATCTATAATGTCTCGTATCCATCGTCATACCATTGCTATTTTCACTTAAGTCCGTCGCTAAATAGAGACAAAATGGTCTATCGCTAAATTATAGTTGCTAATACCCTTGCAATTCCATTGCTAAATCCGTCGCTAATTACCCTATTTATTCCATCGCTATTTTTTTTAAAAAAAAAATCAATAGTCGATTACCGGTAATTGTAATAATAGATAACTATAAATAACATTTTATTAAAACATGATATATTATTTAATAAAATTAAAATTATATAAATTAAAATAAAATAAATATATAAATACGTTAAGATATATAAAAAAATTAAAAACTTAAAAAAAAGAAGAAGAAGAAATTTTATTCTCATTATTATCATCTCCCGCATTATCTTCG